CAAGTTGTTTCAAATGGATGTGAAGAGAGCCTTAATGTGTAATTACTTGAAAGATAAGGTTTATGTGAAACAACCTCCAGGTTCTGAAGATGTTGATTTACCGAATCATGTGTTCACTATACATTATATGACTTGAAGTAAGCACCTAGGGCCTGGTATGAGCGATTATCGAAATTCCTTCTAGATAATGGGTTCAATAGTGGAAAAATTGACAACACACGGTTCTTGAAGTCTAGAGAAAATGAGCTTCTAGTGGTGCAAGTCTACATGGATTATATAAGTTTTGGGGCCACTTCAGACCAAACTACTTGTGCAAGGAATTTGCAGCATTGATGAGTAGTGAGTTTGATATGAGAATGGTGGGAGAACTTACCTTTTGTTTTGGATTTTCAGATTAAACAACTTCCTAAGGTACTTCAATCTGTCAAGAGAAATACATAGAGAACTACTCAAGAAATTTAGCATGCAGGACGTCAAGATAATTGATACCCCAATCAGCACAAATGTTGAGCTTTATAAGAATGATACAAGAAGTGATGTTAACCAAATAATGTATAGAGGAATCATTGTATCTATTCTCTATCTCACTGCAAATAGGACTGACATAGTGTGTTCACCATGGGATTGTGTGCCATATTTTAAGCAGTTGTGAAAGAGTCACACTTAAAGGCAACTAAGAGGTTCCTAAGATACTTAAAAAGAACTTAGTACCTAATTATATTCTATCATTTTGGAGACTCATTACATTTGATTGGATATGCTGACGTTGATATGCCAGTTTTCTTATTGACAGGAAAAACACTTTAGGCATGTCACCTTTTGTGGGGTCATCACTGATCTCATGGGGAACTAAAAAGTATAATCTCATAGCTTTATCTAGTGCTGAAGAGGGTTTGTAATTGTTGCTTCATGATATGCTAAACTCTTGAGGATCAGGCAACAACTTGAAGATTTTGGTGTCCTCAAAAATATTAATCCTCTCATGTGTGACAACACAAGTGCAATGAACATGACAAAGAATCTTGTTCATCAAAAGGGGACTATGTATATTGATGTGAGACATCACTTTCTGAGAGACAATGTTGCCAAGGGAAATGTAGTGATGAGATACTGTATGATAAAGGATCAAATAGCTGACATCGTCACCAAGGAAATGAGCAAGGAGAATTTTTTCAAGAACATATTGAGTTTGAGGATACACAAGCTTAAGTGATTTCACAACAAGTGCACGAAACCACCTTTTAGCTCTAATGAAGACATGTTTTGTACTTGTTATATTTTTCATAGTTTGTGAATTCACTCTTGGTACCTTACTGAAGGTATGGATAAATGAAGATATATTCATAACAGGCGACATAGTCCCCCTAAAGGTTAGTATCACTTTACTACACAATTTTCTGTCAACGATCACTGCCACGTGTCATTTCCTTATTTCTTGTGTCAGTTACATATATGTTTTCAATTTAAAAATTGAAGGTCACTACTGCTTAAGGACCCATACCAAGCTTATATAAATCATTTGTATGATTAAATAAATCAAATCCTTTATTTTTTTTCTTTGAACTTTGTCTCTACATTTCAATTGTGTTTCTCCTTTCTCTTGAGAAAATGTCAAATCCGTCTTCTCCCAAGAAATTGAAAACCCTTGTTCATTAAACTTCTCTATTCTTCCCTCTAAGGCTTCTCTCTCTACTTCGGTTGTGGTCTTGGTGAAATTGGTGAATCCCTCACACCCAAAAATGAAGTTTAAGAGTCTAATGTACTTAACATTGTAGACAACTTGTCTTGTTCTCTAATGCTTGTTCTATCAGAGAAGGACTCTCAAAATTTGAGGCCCAATTGGTTTTTAAACCTGAGACACCTACTGAAGATCTGGAGGTTGTATCTCAACCAGGATCAATGTCCTCTGCTATATGTAAAAGGTTTTTCTATGAGTATTTGCCTGAAGGAAAGGGTACCAAGTCTAACATACTAGCTACTGCAGAGGACCTAGTGGTGGTGCAAAGTCTTGCATCACTCAGAGAAGATATTGAAATCACTCTTTTGGAAGAGGAGTACTGGTCGTTGGAACTTTTCACTCATAGTCTTGAACCTATATCTGACCAACCCTTGAAACATTAGAAGTTAACAATGAAGGAGAGAATGAAAAATCTCCTCTTGTTTTGTCTAGAAGAGGGTTTAGGGGATAAAATGCTTCAAATGTGTATACATCAGATCTTGGAGAACCTGAAGTTGTTCTTGAGGTTAGAATTGCAAAAGAATCTTCTGAATCAGAGAAGAAAACAAGAGAAAAGGAAACGGAAAAATAGTTAAATCCTTAAAGAGGGGGAATGAGAGAAAATATGTCAAAAGGGGGTCTACTCAAAAGCTAATGGGAGATGCCATAAATGCCAACAAGGCTCAGACCGTAAAAAATCGACAAGCAAGAAAGATTCACAATTTACTTAGTGAAAATCCCATAACAACTAGGAGATAAGATCTAGTGATACTGAGTCTTAGGACATTGTTAGGGCAGTGGCGAAACGGCGGAAAGAAGTGGAGTAAAAACAAATTAAGGCTAAGCGAAACCCTAAATATGGGAAAAAATCATCCGTAAAAAAGGCCAGGGTCATTATAAGGGCTACCTCATAATCAAATCTGCAAAACAACAAGATCTGACTTCCGAGATACAAGTTGAAGGAAAGGTATTGACAAGGAAGGAACTTATTGCAAAACTTGAAAACCAGAAAGTCCTAAATAGAAAGGTGTTTGACACTAACATACTTATTGACATAGTGTGTGTACTCTTTATGACACTGTCTCCTTGCAAAATTGAGAGCTTTAGATTGAATGTCCAACACCATATCTACATGATCTAGAAGTGTGTGATTTCTACTACAAAATGGAACTCTTTGATGATGGAGGCATTTAGACATCTGTACGTGAGGTGAAGATTTCCATGAGTGCAGAATTTTAGGAATTATACAATGAATTCCCTATCAAGGGATCCAGTCAATTGAAGGGTGCAAATCCTCTGACGATTTTTTTTTCAACAGGTCACCAAGCATGGGGTTATGAAGTGTGAACGTCTTCCTAAGATGTTTAGAGAAGAGTGCCCGTTGTGTTTTGAGTTTGTCAATAAGGTGGTCGTGCCCAGGTATGAAAAAAGGGCAGTGGCGTCTGCAGCAGATCTATTTCTCATAGAGCAATTGGTTGAACTTGAAGTTATTAGTCTTCCTAGATTATGCTCAAGAACATGCATAGAGTTATGACATGGAAAATGCCAAGCATGGCATACCCTATGGGTACTTATTGAATCAAGTGTTTGAATATTTTGGAGTGTCTCTTGGGAGGGGAGTACCAGAATCTGTAGAGTAAATGTTTTTTGCAGCCACAATGTTAAGGGTAAGGTCAAAGCCAAGTCTCAAGTCTCTGCACTCCTTTAAAAATAGGAAACTCTCAAGCGTGAGTTGGATGATTTCAAAGAAAGCTTGAGTGCAAATGAGGTAGAAATTGCTCGCATAAGGGTCCAAACTTCAATAAGCTATCTCTCAAGGTCCTGATACTAGTGCTGACAGTAAGGAGAAAGTTGAAAAGTTCACGACTGAGAATGAACAACTACTTAAATCAAATGCCTTAGTTAATGAGGAATTCCAGACTCTCAACAAGCAATTCATTGAGGCATATGTCGATACTATTTTTCGCTTGAATCTTGTGCTGCATTCCTTCTCTCTCCCCTCCATCCAAAAAATGTCTATTGTTTAAATTCTTAATTCTTCTTTGTTCTTTTGTTGTTACCCTCTCTTAGTCTAGTGGCAAATGTACTATTTTGAGTGGACTCTGTGGCCATTATTATGATCTAATATGATTATCTAATTTGCGTTTTTTGGTATGCTTTTGTCTTCTCTATGTCTACCTGCATGCTCATGTACTTTGTGGCCATGACCTTGGATTCCTAATGATTTTGCATGCAACTTGTATATGTTTACTGTTACTCCTTTTCAATGATGTCAAAAGGGGGAATTGACTGTGAATAAGTGTGTTGAAATTAGAGCATGTTGACGGGGGAACTTGGTGATAGGCGGAACTGATAAATTGAATGAATATAAACTCATGTGAGGTGGTTTTTTTCCATCATCAAAAGGGGGGAAATTATGTAACTCAATTGTTTTACTGATCCTAACAAATGCAGATTCCCGTTCACTGGCAGAGTGTTCTCGCCTAGGTACAATATGGTGTACAATTGGAAAGGTGTCTTGTTAGGGTGTCGGTGAAGCAGTCAGTGTACTTCACCAATGGAAATGGACGAGGTTGTTTGTGTGGTTTTCAACAATTCTTCTTGATTGATATAATCAAGAGACAAAAAACTTGATGATTCATGCATTCAAAGAGAGAAGCAATCAAGCCTAAAATACGAAAAGGGACCAGATCAACTGAAGAAGTGATATCTATGTGTGTTGTTGTCTTTTGAATGCTTGTAATGTGCTAAACTTGTAGGATTTGTTTCATTCTTATAAGAAATGTTTCAAACCTTTATGTGAGTAAGTATAAGAACATTGTTAGAGTTAACTTTGTGTCTTACTGTTTGAAATTTATATTAATTAGTGATAATTAATATATATAGTGCGCATTGGATGCATTGCTTTGGCTTAGTAAATCATAGGTGTATTATATAGTGTGAGATTAAGAGTTCAATCTCATTGGTGTAGCTTAAATCTATATTCACTTTTGCTTGGAGATTAGTGAAAACAGTTGAAAATTCTGTGTGACGGGTGACAGTATTATTCCCTTGAGAAAGGAGGTTTCCACGTATAATCTTGTATGCCTATTTTACTTCCAGTCTCTTACTTTCAGTATTTTAACTTAAGCAAAGGACCTGGTTCTGTGATCACTAGTGGACACATACATTAATCCAACAAATATGTTTATACTAATTTTGAATTTTTTCTAACATTTATATCAACATTTTGACCAAAATCAAGGCAAGTTAGAGAGACGAGTGTAGCTAGTTTTGTTCTTACCTGATATCCAAGTCCATTATTGTAGCAATTCTCGATGGGATTTAGGCTTAAACCAGTTGAACCAAAACAAGATTGCCATGATGAGTGTTTGTTTTGCAGATGCAATTGTTCTATGCAACTTATAAGCTTGAAATGTGTTTCCTGTTTTATCATTTACACCAACAAATAACTTGTGGAATTAGTATAAACCTTTGAGTTATTAAATATATAAATATCTGACGTTTTTATATATTATTGGCTATTTTTGCACTTAATATTTTGGAATTAACAATTTATCGTATGATACTCCTCTGTCTCTTATTACTAGTTCATTTTTTAACTGAGACACCTATTAAGAAAATAATAATTGGCATAGTGAATTTACTATTTTATCTCCCTATTAATTATGAAGTGGTAAATTAAAATTAAAATTTTCAAGAAGTTCTATTTTTTTCTATGTAATTAATTGAAAGTATAATAGGTAAAAGATTAGTCCTTTCTTGATTTATCAAAATGAACAAGTAATTAGGGACGGATGGAGTATGTATTAGCACACTACAACAATTAAAGTATTTAGTGGCAATAAATAAAGGATTTAGTGAAAATAAATAGCGTCAATAATCTAATATTGGGTGTTATAACCATCACTCTCTATATATATATATTGCTAAACATTTTACCAACTCTGGATGCAATAACATTAACTCAAATACCATTAAATTTTTTTGAATTATTTGTTATTGTCCCTAAATATCTCTTTCGGTGTAATAACATGTGTTACATACCAGATTTGACCAAACCTTGATAGCACAAGCTTCCACTGTGTTTAGCTGACACTCATCTGTTCCATGCTGTTGACATGCAAAAAATAAAATAAAATGGAACAGAACAGAATTCAGTTACTAAGGAAATTGGAGAGATTTAAAAGTTTGGGTAGAATCAATGATGAACAAAGAATTTAGCATAATTAGTAGTGTTGGTCTATTCAGTGGTTGAGTCGAAATTTATATTGAATGTCATAATATAATAAAAAAAGGCCTAAGTCATTCTCAGCCCCTTAAAGTTGTCCGCATAATTCATTTAGACACCTTATCTAAGGTTTGTTTGAATTGAACACCTTTATTAGTTAAAATATATTCCTATTAAACATTTTCTGACAATCAATAAAAAATAGAGAGTGAGTGACATACACTCGCGGATGATGTGGTACAATAACCAATAAAAAAAGACATATGGCATTGACCCTTTAATAACAATTAAAAAAATAAATTAAAATAAATAAATAAAATAAAACTACTATTTTAGCCAAAAAAAATAAATAAAATAGAAATATGAAAAGAACCTTTCTTCTTTGTTTCTTTTTGCATAGCAGTAACCCTACCACATCACCTCCATACCCGTTACACACTTTAATAGTAATGGTAACTCCACTTTTCCTCTCACAATTCACACAAGGATTTTGTTTCCCACTAATACACCTGCCCCGTCTCCTTTATTCTAAAATAACTTCAGATTCGTATTAGCGTTGTCGGAAAAAATGGTGTTTCACCAAAATTATTTTTGACACAATTTGATTATTATTATTATTATTTTATGAAATTCTCTTCTAAAACTCCAAGATAATGCTTATGATATTGAGAATGGCAGAACAATGCTAGAAAGAAAGTATATGGGGAAGGGGTGAGGCGGAGGATGGTGGCTTAGGAATTTGGCCGGTAAGAATTCAGTCTCTCTTACAAAAAAAAAAATTGAAACCAAAACAAAGCGGAACCAAAACAAAGTGTCGAAGATCTTCTAAATACTGAAGAAGACAGAGTGCTCTGAAGAAGAAGATTGTTGAAGGATAATGGGTTTTTTTTTTTAATTATTATTAAGAGATCCTTGTTGAACTAAATTATTAATTTTAGTTATTTAATAATATATCTAAGTTTCAAGAAATGACAAAATCAACTTTAAAAAAATTAAAAATAATAATATTGGGATCTATTCACGCGCTTTAGTACAGTGAATTAGACTTATCTTGCCACATAAGCATTTTGTGTTTAATGGGTATATGTTTGAACAATTTAAGTGTTCAATTGAAACATGTCCTAGTTGAGGTGTCTAAGTGAATTATGCGTACAACTCCAAGGGGCTACCTATGACTTAAAGACATGCATAGAAATAAGAAAAGTCAACATATAATATATACATAAAATCTAAAATTTTAATCTAGCTAAACATTATATTTTTCTGACGAAGAGGTGTAATTTTGACACCCATTAGCATGTGGCACTTGGTCTATGGTCACAATATAACTTTTATACGGCTCTTTTGTGTATGAGGCTATGACTAGTTCTAAAACAATAAAGTCTTTCTTTCTTAAATTATATGTTGAATCAAAATCAATATATAAAAAAAACGGAGTGAGTATTTTTATAAATTAAGTACTAAAATATTTCAGCAAAGCGATATTCAATGTTAAAGCTTCACAACTCAGGCCTAAGCAAGTCTATAGGTTAAGAAGGTAACAAAATAACCAAAGTCTACAAGATGAAGGTTGGAAAGGGGTACAATACCTTGCATTTGATAATAGATTTTCAAAGTCATTTTCAAAATTTATCGTCACATATTTGTTTAGCCATTAAATATGACAAACATGTGAAAATGTCATCTTCAAATATTTTAAAGTTTGCAAAATACATGTTCAAACACGATTTCACATCCTCAAATTAAAAAATTTATGATTAAACAAAAGCTGACCTACAAATTTAGAGGAAATAGGGAGAAAAGAAATGGAACCTGACAAATCCAGCTAGTATTAGGTGCAATCTGAGTATTACCCCAAGGAACAAGCCTAAGATTCACAATTGAACCAAGATCTGTTTGGAGAACTTTAACTAATTGGTTCACAATGAAATCTGCACAATATGGACACAGAGATTCATAATACAAGGACAAGTTAACTTTGTCTTGTGAACATACATGACATTGAAATGTGAGTAATGGAATCAAAACAAATGTAATGATAATTCTAGTTATTTGATTATGAGATGCCATTTTTCCCTTATGGAACTTTCTTCTTTCTACCTTTAATTATTTATCCTTTTTATGTACTTTAAAGGTTCTTTAAAGAAAAATAAATTTGTATTAAAAAATTTGCTTTAGCTTTTACATCCCATTCCTCACCCCACCTACCATAATAAATTAACTATTGAACTTTTCAGGACTGTCTTTTAAAGAGTTATTAGTCATCTGCCTATAAATTTGTACAACTAGTATAGTAGTTGCTAGAGTTAATACTAGAGACATTATGTCAAGTGTGATAGTGTTTTTTTTTAGTCTGTCTGAATAAAAATGATTTTTTTAAATATGTGTAATAATAATTTAATTTTAAAATCTTTATGACTTATTTTAGATTTGTTATTTCAAAAGTTATTTTTTTAAGAAAAAAAAGGTTTGGACCAAGTCAAGCATACTACACAAATTGAAATGCAAATATGTGACTATACTTTATGCCACATTTACTTGTAATCAATTTTTTTTCCTGTAAAGGCATGTTAGGCTTTATAGAAGATAGTGATTGTAACTATATTCCGATATGACATATCCGAATTTTCTTCCACACAATTGAAAAAGGGGAAATGTATTATGTTCTGAATAATAAAAATATATGCAACTCTCATGGATAGAATAGGTTCTGATCAATATTGAACAAACTATTCCATAGTTGCATTTTCGTGACATATACATATATATATATATATATATATATCATTCGATCTTTCGAAGGTAGAGATTCACATATTGTATATCTATATGAGTCTTGCAGATATTTTTGAATTTTTTAAAATCAAAGTAAGTTATTATTTAAATCAATTTATTAATATAATATGTTTTTTTTAAAAGTTCTATAAAATTTGTATAAATATATTTCTCAGTAATATTTTAGACTCTATTTTGTTAAAATAAAACTTAAATGGTTAATGGAGTTAATCGACATAGAACATGACTATCAGTAATATCTTATAATTTGTTATTCTGAGGCATGTTTTACAGGAACTATTGAATCTTGTAAATTTAGAACCGAATTCTGTAAATTTACCTATAATATGTGATTGTAAACTTTGTTAAGTCATACTACTTTATTTTTCAAATTAACCACACATGTATATGACTATCAAAATAAACCTTGTTGCAATGAATGTTCAACACATCCGTACAACATTATTCAATAGAGTTTTGGGTTATAAGAAAAATTAGATGAGACTGCAGACATGTAAATTTTATCGGGTTAATTTTGTATAAAATTTGGATTTAATTCATATTTATTTGGGTTGAATAATCAATTTGGCTTCATGAATAAATAAGTTCATGTTAGAATGATAAAGATTTTGATAATTGACAAATAGAGAAACAAATGAAAGAAACAGTTTGTACAGACGTGTTTCTTACAGAACGAATCCGACTCGAATAAGGAGACCACGTGAATTAAAAGTTATAAAACAGCGGAATTATTGTTTTTTCCACAAGCAACCAGTACAAAAAGGTTCTTTTTATAAAGGGTTCAAAGCCAAGTGAAAAAAGAAAAACTAATTCCTATTTAAGGAAATCTATTTAAGGAAATTGTGTTTTCTTATTTATTTAAGGAAATTATGCTTTCTTATTTATTTAACGAAATTATGTAGAAAAGAAGTACAAGTAGAAGTCAACAAGGATTTGTAGAATGCAAATACAAGTTGAATATACAAGGTGTTGTTGAAGTTCTGATCTATAAATAGGGAGCTATTTGCATCAGAAAAAATTGTGCACTTACATAGAGAGAAGATCAAAACACGATCAAGAGGTTTAAGGGAGTTTTAAGATTTATTGGGGGTGTTGCAACTTGTGAGGAAAAATTGTAAGATTGTATTCAAGAGTCTTGTTTACAATCTGAGTTTTGTGAGAGGATTTGTTCGACAAGTTGGAGAACTAGAAGATCATTAGAAGATATAAAATCGGGGGGTTTTGTTTCATTGGGTAGCTAGAAATTAGAGTTTATAATTTCTTAGCTAGGAATTAGATTTTATAATTCCTTTAGGAATTAAAGTTTATAATTCCTTAGATTACATTGTTTTGTAATCTTTTGTTTAGACTTGAAGTTTAATAAAGTGGAGTTCAATCCTACAGAGGTGTAGGTCGTGGTTTTTACCCTTAAGAGTTGGGGTTTTTCACGATAAAATATTGTGTTATTATTTTATTTATTTCACAAAACGTAAATATTGTAATCTGCAAAAGAACATATAGAATAAACGTGTTCTAAGACGAATTCGAGGGTAAGAATTTCAACAATTAGTATCAGAGCGGGTTATCTTTGAAGAGTCTAACAACTCAAGATAAGATCATAATGAATTCTGCACCTCCTTTTGGGCATGGTCAAGGTCAACACATCAACAGACCACCATTATTTAATGGAGAATACTACTATTGGTGGAAGACAAGAATGCAAGACTTCATTCGAGCTGAAGATTACGAACTATGGATTAGAATTACTAATGGACCATTAAACTCCTACTATTACTGATAGTTAAGGGAATAAGGTACCTAAACCTACAGAAAAATATGAGGAAGTCCATTACAAGATGTTAGGAAAGAATGCAAAAGCTAACTGCATTATCGTATCTGGATTAGGACTTGATGAGTTTAACCGCATCTCTAGTTGTACCTATGCAAAACAAATATGAGACACTTTATAAAACGCTCGCGAAGGTACAACTCAAGTTCGTAAATTCAGAATTGTCAGACTTTGTTCTGAATATGAAGCCTTCAAGATGAAATTCGGAGAATCATGTCAAGATATGATCACCAGATTTACCACTGTTGTAAACGAGTTAATATCCTTGGGCAATGTATACACCACTGAGGAACAGGTAGACAAAGTACCAAGGACTCTGCCTAGATCATGGGAAATAAAAGCAACTGCAATTAAAGAAGCCAAGGATCTAACCAATATGACTTTGGATGAATTAGTAGGAAATATCAAAACTTATGAAATAAATGTTGATAAAAGAGGTAAAGAAAACAAAGAGAAAAATATTGGATTTAAAACAACTGAAAGTGATGAATCTGACATAGATGATGATGATCTTGCTTTTATAAGTAAGAACTTCAAGAAACTCTTAAGAAGGAGATTAAATGCTAGCAAGAAATCACCGCCCCAAAAATAAAAAAATCTTGAGAGACCACAAGGCGGAGGCTGCTTCAAGTGTGGTAAGACAGATTATCAGATCAAGGAATGCCCAATGTGGGAATTAGAATGCAAAAAGGAAAAAAGCTGAAAAAGAAAGGAACTCTTTAATAAAAACAAAAACAAAGAAAAAGAACAAGCAATGTATATAGCTTAGGGAACATGTTCTTTAGACATGTATGAATACGATGATGAGGACATTGCTTTGATGGAGATAGAAGAATCAGATGTTGAACCTGAATAAGACTCTAAAGAAACTGAGGTAAATCTTCTTAACCTAAAAGATAAACTAACAAAGTTCTCTAAGAAAAAACTTTCATTCTTATTGCTTGCTTCCATAGACACAATTCAATAACTTGGGAACACCACGATCCAATTACTAGCTTTCTTATCTTGCTTAAAGTTTGAGCACATTGATCTTAATAAGAACAAACATGACCTTCAAGGGAAAATCAAGCAACTTGAATCTCACAATCTGGAACTAAGAACTGAGAATCTAAAATTAAAAGTTCTTGGAAAAGAAAAAGGGGGTGAACTGGATGACCAAAAACTGGAGGTAGACACACTCAAAAATAACTTAAATCTAAAAAAGGAAAACTCTAGAAGAATAAATCTTGAATTAACTAGGATGAGAAGTGATCTAGAAAGAGCAAATAAGTGGACAAAATTCTCCATGATAGTAGCTCATCTAGGTAACAATAATAGGAACATTAAAACTGGAATAGGGTATGAACAACCCATTAATGGAAATCCTATGTTTTGCTTTATTTGTGGTATCTCAGGTCACTCTAAACAATATTGTCCTAAATACAAAGCTAGTGTAGAAAATAATGCAAGAGGAACTTATAAAACTGTTCAAAGGAACAAATATACTCAAAGGAAAAATAATCTACCCAAGTGGGCTTATAGAGATCTTATTCATCCTTTTTATCAATACAAAGGACCCAAGCTAGTATGGGTTCCTAAATCTAACCTTTGAATTTGCAGAAAAAGTGTGAGTAAGCAGACAACATTCACCCATTGAACATGTTTTTCACATGCATGATTGTAACTAGAAAAAATTCCTCACTTGAAAAAAAAAGTAAATGGATGAATAACATTGACTGAGAAAAAAAAAGAGTTGAAAAAAAGAATTAAAAAAGAAGAAGGAGAAAGACTGAAGTATCTAACAATTATGCACACTAAGATGATCAATCAATCAAAAATATGATCAGCCAAGGAAAACACTTTAAGAAGGAACAATTTGAGACTTGGGGATGATTAAGGTTACATAAGTATCCCAAAAATGGGTAATGAACATTGCACATACTGCCCTCTAATATTGAATTCTATCCTCAGTTTTGTACATTAAGTTGTATGTCCCTATACCACTTTTAAAATCATGTTACTAATGTACTATAACATTATATTTACATCTAGCACAAGCAAAAGACTTAGTAACATTGAAGCAAAATTCAGCATTATCCAGAGATCTAAGGTATGTGCACTACAATTATTTATGACTAAATATAAAGTCAATGCACTTGAACCTATTTCTTCCACTTGTCCCAAAAGCTACATGCCCTAAATAGTACCAAAACAAATATCTTCTTATAAAGACTTATCCCAATGTGATGGTCTATGGTTGAGATGAATTTGATGGAGGACACCTCTACTTTGGTGCCTTATAAATACAAATTAAGAAAGTAGAGTGTGCTGGTTCTTAGGGGGAATCTTTTGTATTCAGTAAAGTCTTGGAGGATTTACATTGTGAGGGGGAATATTTTGGAGACCCTATACTTGAACAAAGTTCACTTGTTAGGCTCAACTTGAGTGCATCTAGTGAGGGGAAATCGATGAGAGATCCATCTGTCGAACCTAGTTCTTCTATTGAGAACCATATAAACTGGGATTTCGAATTGATATAAAAAAATTATAGTTG